GGGTTGCTGTTAAGGTGCTTAAATTAAGTTGCCATACTGGTTAAATAAATATATCTATGTATATGGTGTAAATGATAGGGTTTAAATAGGCATACTGGAAAATAACATGGAAACTACCACTTAGGGTTTAGGGTTAAGGAACTTAGATTAAGTTACCACAGTCAGCATATATATAAATGCATAGTAAATAAGAGGGTGTCCCCAACAGAGTATTTTAACTTAAGTTCCTTAACAGTAACTCAGGTGAGCAGCATTGGGGAGGGAGCCTTCGAACTGTGCAGCCGCCTGGTGAGCGTGAAGATTCTCAACTCAGACTGCAGCATTGGTGCTGACGCCTTCTCCAGATGCAGTGCATTGAAACATGTGGAGATCCCCTCGTCCGTGACTGGGTTGCTGTTAAGGAAATTGAATTACTCAAGTCATTCTAGCAAAGAAACAATCTCGTTAGCTGTACACCCATACTGTGGTAACTTGAATTGAGCTCCTCAGCAGCAACCCAGTAGATCCTAAACCCCTAAACCCTAAAAGCCTTAAACCCTAAACCCTAGAAACCCCAACTCCTAAACCCTAAACCCTAAACCACAATCCCTAAACCCCTAAACCCTAAACCCCAATCCCTAAACCCTAAACCCTAGAAACCCTTAAATCAGATATAACCCCTAAACCCCCTAAGCTCCTTAACAGCATCCCAGGTCAGCAGCATTGGGGAGGGAGCCTTTGAGTCTTGCGGTGCCCTGGAGACTGGGTACCCCGGTAGTACCCTTTTTGTTGCCTTTTGATGTAGGGTTTAGGGTTTAGGGCTTAGGGCTTAGGGTTCAGGGTTGATGGTTGAGGGTTTAGAGCTTAGGGTCGGGGGTCTCCCTATTAGAATTAAATAGGAGGAAACAGGGTACCCTCGTTGTTAAGGGGTTACATGGGGAGCCTAGGAGAAGATAAACATTCCGGACTCAGTGACCACCATTGAGGCCAGAGATTCTGGGCTGCTGTTAAGGAACTGTTTTGGGGGATTTAAAGGTTTAAGGGTTTAGGTTTCAGGGATAGGGAGAACTTTTTTAGGGTTTAAGGGTTCAGGGCTCAGGGATATGGAGAACTGTTTTAGGTTTCAGAGTATAGGGTTCAGGGATAGGGAGACCCATTAATTTGATACACACCCAGCTTATCGTAACTTGATTTAAGTTCCTGAAAACCCTAAACCCTTGACCCTAAACCCTTAACCCTAAAACCATTCAACCCAGGTTTTTCATGGCTGCAGCTCGTTGACGCATGTGGAGATCCCAGGTGTAGGATTCCCAAAATTAGGGGTTTAGGGGGTTTAGGGGTTTAGGGGGTCTTGGGATTTGGGGTTTAGGGTTTAGGTTTTAGGGTTTAGGTTTTAGGGGTGAAGTGGAGATCCCAGGTTCCGTGACCAGCATCGGGGCATTGTCTTTCCACTCATGCTCTGCTTCTGGGTGGGTTTTAGGGTCCAGGGTTTAGGTAGGATTATAGGGGGCTATAGTTTTGTAGGGCTTATATAGGATAATGGAAAGAAAATGGAAACGACTATCTAGGGTTTAGGGTTAAGGAACTTGATATAAGTGCATATGCATATATACGTATAGTAGATAAAAAGTTTCCCGAGTATAGAGACCTAAATTAAGTTTCCTGACAGAAACTCAGGCTTTGGAGACCGTCAAGATTCCCGCCTCGGTGACAGACATTGGGGCTTTTGCATTTTATGACTGCAACGCCCTGCGAGATGTACTGATCCCCGCATCGGTGACCAGCGTTGGGCGTGATGCCTTCCCACATCATCTTGCTACAGACTCCACCTGCGCTGCAGGTGTCTGCGCATTGCAGTGACGTGCTATCCGTGAGATGGTGAGCAGCAATGGAGGCCATTCATTCGTGCTGTTTCATCGCGTCAGGGATGGCATTTGCCCAGCCAAGAGTCATGATCCAGCACCAGACAGCGAGCTGGTGCCCAGCATCTGGGCCTTTCCTGGCAACCCTGCTATGCTATAGAGCTTGGAGACATGAAGGTTCCTGCAGTGTCATTCCAGCATCGAGGCGTTTCTCTGCCACTCCAGCTATGCTATGGAGAGCATCAAGTTTCCCACCTCAGTAGTATGGGCGAGTTTCAACATTGTGGTGCCCGAAGCTGCCTGTGAGATGGACCCTGTTGAGCTTGCGGTCGTGCATGCTTGCGATAAACCGTCGCAGAACGTTCCACGCTTGCTGAAAAATGATACCAGGCTTTGATTGTACCAGCCTAAGCAGGTTAGCCAGGAACTTTAAAGGATAGCACAGCAGATTGCAATTGTTCTTCTTGGGAACTCCCGTGCTCCTTGCAGGCACCTTTGTCTTATGTTGGGGGTGCGTTGCCTTTTGGACCTGCCACTCATTTCACAATGATGAGTAGGAAGGGCTTAGTGCCTGAACCCTAAACCTTAGTAAGGCGTGTGGCCGGCGGCTTACCGATGAAGATGTGATGCTGATACTTGTGATGCTCAATATAATCCTGCCCAAGGGCTCCAGTTACCTAGATAATGGGAACTGGGTTCTAAAAACCCTATAGTTACATGGCCCAGTAGCCTACTATTTAGGTAACTAGGAGCCCTAGGGCTGCATAATAGCTCATGAAGCTCATGAAGAAGTAGGAGTTTCTCAAAATTAGGGGTACCTTTTGGGGGTCCCCATAATAAGGACTATATTATTTTGGGGGTTTATATTGGGGTACTTTAATATTGGGAAACTACCAAGTGCCGGTGAGTCGTCTGCTTATCTTCTCACACGCGAAGTAAGAGGAGCTGAACCCTTGCACCCAATACAATAATCAGGGTAACGGAGAAGAAAATGGAAACTATTATAGGGGTAATGGGGAGAAGAAGCTGGAAACTACTAGAGGGGCAATGGAAAAGAAAATGGAAACAACAGGGATTATATAGGGATTATATGGGGGTATTTATGGGCTCTATAGGGATAATGGAAAAGAAAATGGAAACCATCATAATATATTGGTGTTATATAGGGATTATGTAGGGTATATAAGGGGTATCTATTGGGGTAATGGAAAAGAAAATGGAAACTACTATAAAATGTTGGTGTTATATAGGGATAGTTGAAAAGAAAATAACATGCAGACATACGGGTTTGAGCATGAGTTCGCACGCGGCTTCATTTCAGCCATTTCTGCGAATGAATGGAGAAGCCGGCGCGGGAACGGAATCCGAATCCAGGCCGATGACAGACCTGAAGCATAAGACAAATCCTCGTGGCTAGAACTTGGCAAGTTTCATCCCTCTTGTATTACAGTTACCTTTCACGGTCACACTACAACAGTCTCAGGCCCTAAGCCCTAAACCCAGAAACCCTAAACACTACAATCTCAAGCTGTAAACACTAAAACCCACAAGCCTAAAACCCCAGACCCTGAACCATAAGACCCTAAACCCTACAGCCCTAAAACCCTACAAGCGTCTAGTCCCCTTGATTAAATAGAACGTGGCTTTGGGTATATTATAACACGAATCCCATATACCCCATATTCTATCCACTTCGGGGGGGCTATAATCCCCTAAACCCTAAACCCCCATACTCTATCCTAAACCCTAAACCCTAAACCCTATTCCCTAAACCCTAAACACTTTTCTATCTACTTAAGGGGGACTATAAGACAGGCCGAGGAGAAGCGGAGGAAAGATGAGGCCTTCTCTCGGCCAGCTCTGTTTACTAGGGATCCAGATGCTAAGGGTTTAGGGTTTAGGGTTTGGAGTTTAGGGTTTCACGTTTAGGGTTTCAAGTTTAGGGTTTAGGATTTTAGGGTTTAGGGTTTAGGGTTTGTGGTCTAGGGTTTGGGCGAATTTCCCCAAACCCAAAGGGTCCATGTACCCGCTAATGAGGTACCTGGGTTTTGGGTGATAGTTTTTTTTAAGTATTGGTCTTGAGTAAGGATATGGTTATTAGGTACGTGGACCCTTAGGGAAAGAGGGGGGATTCCAATATAGACCCCAAAATACGACAATCCTTGCTATAGTGATCCCTAAAAAGGTACCCCTTGGTTTGGGAAACCCTAAACCCTACTTACTCCCTAAACCCTAAACCCCTAGCCCTAAACCCCATATTCCCCATAGAGCCCCTATGTAACTCTTTAAAGCCTAAACCCTAAACCCTAAAGGATCCCAAAAGTGGAACCCCCTAATAACCTCCTAGTTTACCCAATGTAGTAATGGGTTCATGTTGGGGGGGTTCCATTTTTTGGATCCTTTAGGGGGTCTGGGATTCCCCCAGGTCAAGAAGAGCTTGAAGAAAAAGAAGCAAGGAGCCCCTGGCGAAGCGGCAGCCAAGGCGAGGATGGTGTAGAGTCCCCCAGTTTAGGGTTGAGGGGTTTAGGGTTTAGGGGTTTAGGGTTTAGGGTTTAGGGGTTTAGGGTTTAGGGTTCCTGGCGTATATAGGGGAGGATTACAAGATACACCTAGAAAATATAGGGTTCCTGGATTGTATGGGGAAGTATGATGAGGGTTTTTAAGGGGGATACTAGGAGTTTCACTAAAATTTCGTACAATCACGAAATAGTATATACCGCTATGCCCTACAATACCCCTATAGAGTCCCTATATAACCCTATATTACCCTAGAGTACATAGGAGCCCTGTCTTGGATCCAGGTTGACCCATCCTTTAGAGACCCCGATGCAGATTTTTGCCTTCTCCGTATAGACCCGAGGTGGCTTCCGCAGTCCACGCTGTTTCCCAGACCCCCTAAAAGATCCACAAAATGGAACCCCCTAAT